TTTTTGCGGTATTTTTCCCCTCCAGTGTGGCACGAGACTCTCTCTTGGGCGGCGTTTCGGCGGCGCAGCCGCCGCAGAGTTTCAGCAGCCTGCGGAAACTGAAGCGGACTTCTTCAAACGCGCGGCGGCAGTCCGGAGGCGACCCGACCGCCGTCGCCGCCGCGGATGACAACTGGTCCATGTCCCGGTCAGTGCCCAACTCGCTGGACCATCCCAGACCCGGGCACCGCGGCTCGGGCCACATCGTCTATTTACCCGAGTACCGCAGCGTCGCGGCGGCCCTGCGGCGTCCCCGGTCCGCCATGAACCACGGCGACGTGAGTGTGGATGACGACGACGACGACGAGGGCTACGACAACGAACACGGAAGTGAGTAATTTTTTTAATTGAAACTTTTTGACTCATCGCATTGTAATTTGAAAAAAAATATTTACGGTAGTGGTGCGTTTTTAATACTGAATCAATCCGGTGAAAAAGGTACTTTGAGAATTAAAACTAGCAGTTACATAATTTTTTCGCTTTTATATTTGTTCCGCATTTTTTTATTTTTAGAGGTTTTACTGTAGACCTTCAAATTTCGTGCTGAAAAGCCAGGTGCAACATTTAAATACAGTTAAACCTCGAGAACTCGAACCTCCCTTGATGAGTCAAATACCAAGTGGAATTTTTTTCAAGCCCCTGTCTGAATTTCCTTTGAAACAATGCATTAAAAACCTCCCTAACTCAAAGGCTTTTCTTCTCAAACCTCTGTAACACGAATTTTCTGCGGCCTTTTGTTTATAATTTTCTTTACACAGGAACGATAAAAGCAATAAAAAAGTAACTTGATGTGTTTTGAAAGGAAGTGAAAGACTAATTGGACAAATGAACGCTTTCCTCCAAGTTTAGCATCCTATCAACTCATTTAGGACGCAATTTTAGGCCCGAAATATCACCATTTACAATATTTTGCAATTCTTCTGTATTTTCCACAATAAAAATGCTTGTTTCCCTCACTCAAAACCTCTCAACTCAAATCTCTTTGCTGGCCCCATGAAATTGTACTCAAAGAGGTTCGACTATAGCTGACTTACCGCAAACTGATGCAGTAAGTTTATATTGCTCTTAATTTTTTTTAAAGGAGTCGTAAGACCTCATTCAGTGCACGGAGACGCGACGGAGTTTGCGCCGCCACTCCGGCGCCGAGACACGAGTCCAGGCAGCGAATTGGCGGACATGCCGACGTCGATCGGGAAAGGCGTCCTTTCGCCCATCGCCGACATGATGAAGCGGAAGGGCAAAAAGTTCACCTATCAAAGTACAGTGCGGCAGATTGAGCGCCGGCGCCTCGAGCAACAACTGAGTCGTGAAGCTGAAGAGAAGGAGAAACAAAGACTAAGGGAACAAGCCGTGATTCAAAAGGTAAATTCAGTAAAACTTTTCATAACGTATATTTCCCGAAAAAGAACTTGGGTCTATTATCCGAAGCAAGAAATCTATATAGTAGCCTGAGTTCCATCGCAAAAGGCTTCCGTGATCGAAGAGTACTTTCAGTAATCATGATAAAAGAAGTGTTTTTGGATTTTTTTTTAAATCTTAAAATGAGGAAAACGCATTGGTCTGCGTGGAACATGTAAAATACCAAAAAATGATGACATTTACGATTATATTGATCATCTCAAGAATTTCCAGAGCTCCAGGAATTCGCACAGAGAATGCTGCACATTTCCCGCGAAAGTCCTTTTTTTAATCCGACGATAATTTTTTCTTACATAATTTACGCGCAAATCTTCCATAATTTGGTATTTTTGGGTTGCGTATTCTTGATCTTGGTTGTAATTAAATGAAGGATTGATTGAATGAAGGTGAGATGGGTTTTTTTCTGAGTCCAGCAATTGAAACCGAAGGAAAAAAAAAAGAGAAGTACGACATTAATTTTGATTTAAAAAAACTCTTTCACTTGACCTCCTCACTTGGGCAAATAAAATAAATAATGATTCCTGTGGATGAACGAATGCTTAAAATTCGGCCTATGTTTCACAACATTTTCAAATGCTTGCAACACTGCCTCTAGCTTAAAATGAATGTTTTTCTTTTCGATTCGGGAATGTGTGAAGGTCGAAGAAGAATTCCGGAGAAAGAGAAGCCGAGAAAAGTCAAGTATCCAGACACAATTGCAGGAACTGCAGCAAAGCAAACCTGCTGTGATCCACGCTGGGAATAATATGGACACTTACGCGATTCCCAATAAAGCCTGGCGGAATGCTGAAAGCAACAACGGAATGGTTCAGGTTAGTTTTTTTCCCCGTGTCATCCATCAAAACAAAACAAACAAACGGAAAACAAACAATACCAAAATTTTTCGTGCACCGTATTTTTGCTTTTTAACGAAAGCAGTGAAACAAATTCGGAGTCACCCAGAGGCTAGTTAAACTGGATTTTATTGTCTTGAAACTTTTTATCCGACGATCAAAAAAATGTCGGGACTTCGAGAAGAAAAACCACTGATACTTGGGTGTGGAGGGGGTTCATCTTTTTTTTTTTTCAATTGTGAGTCAAGTTAAACTCGTTTACTCTGAGTTTCGAGGTAGTTTCAGTCTGAGAAACACGTTTTCAATTCTACGTATTGCTAAAAGTCGTGCTTATCTGACCAACTGACACCTGGAAAAATTCCCAACACAAGAAAAAACACATGTGAGACCCTTCATTTGTACTTCATTTCTGTGCATGAGTGTTGGTCACGATTCTACTCTCTTAATTTTCTCCATTTTAATCTGGATGAGCAAGCTGCAAACATTCACCAGAAGTTTTTCAATTACTATTGTACTTTCAAAATTACGTTCATGTTCATGCATCGTTTGAAAATAAAAAAATTATAGAGTACCAAAAAAATGATAATTTAGAAATGCAGCCCTCGTATTTTGGTTTCATGCAGGACAAGAGTTCTGTTTTTTTTAATAGTTTTTCATGGAAACTTCGGTAACTAATTTTTGTAATTTGCATCTCTTCAAGGATATCAATTTCGATCTCGGTATAGACGTCAAATAAGGGTTGTCTTTTCGCTTGTTTCCACAATTATTTTTCTAGGTGAGACCCTTCAAGTCTCACCCGATATCGATAGCAGAGAAAAGCGGGTTGTGCGGAATGCTGAATAATCCGGAGCAGCACGTGCAACAGCCGCCACCGCCGCCGTTGAGCCCGCCGCCGCCGCTGACGGCGGACGACTACTTCCCGGAGCCGGCGCCCATGCCGAGCTCGTCGGGCGTGTCGAGCAGCAGTGCTGCTGGCTCTCCCAACAGCACCAACAGCTGCCACATCCTCGCTGGCAACCCTGCTGCTGCTCCTTCCGGATTCTTCAACGGCCTCAAGTCCAGGTCAGTTTCCTGTTTCCTCTTCTTTTTTTTCTTTTTCGTTGGACGGGAATAAGGAATGTGTTGA